GCTTGCATGAAACCTTTGCCTTTTGTAGATTTAAAGATGAACCACAGGTTACAAAGTATGTAAAGATCGCAGCAACTCTACCAGATAAAAGTGTACGGGATGTAGCAATGAGGTGTAAATGGATGACGGTAAGCTCATAACACCTTGTCATTAAGTTTCAGCGAGTGGCTTGCATACATCTTGATCTTGTTATTCATGAGGTCTTGGTACTTTAGTAGTGCCCATTTGCTTGTGAGATGAAAGAAAAAATAGAATTCAGCAGTTATTTCGTCTGTGGCTGTCATGAAAATAGTGGTGCGAGAGATATTTTTATAACGATTAAAGCATATGTGAAGTATAAGGTAACCAACATGGTGATGCTACTTTGGGTGTATGCTTTGTTAAAGATAAAGTCCTGTGGGAAAAGTTCTTTTATATTTTTTGGCTATAAGGTAGTCTTGATCAAAACAAACCCTACCATATCATAAAGGCTGTCTAAAAAGTATGGTAAAGGGTGTGCAAGGAGAGTAATTACAAGTATTGCTGACGATGGCTCTGGCTTTCGCTACCTTGATTTGATTTCTGTAGTGTTGGAACTTGATTTGACCCTAAAGCTTGATTTGATTTCTGTAGATATCCATGGGATTTTTAGACTTTCTGAAGTTTATTTTGACATGCTACCTTTATGAAGGATAATATGGCCGATTCTAGAGTTATAAAGAAGTGAATAAACATTGTTTATAGTGTCTGCAGTATAGCTTACAGTTTGGTGTTAGATTTGCATGCTTAAATGGGAAAAATTAAGTTAAAAAATTATAGTGTCGAATATTGCCTTATCAGCTTATCCTTACTGTCGATTTCCCTGTCATATTACTTCTATGATGTTGGACTGAAGAAATGGATATATATTTTATGACTTGAGCTATACAAGCAGATGTATGACTCGTTCACACATATAATTTCAGTATTACTCCTTTTACGGTTATAATAACTGCTAGATTGTTATTACTTAATCTTTCAACAACTTATATCCATGATCTTTAAGCTTGTATTGGCTAAGAATGGCATCCATTTTTACAGCAAAAACGAAGAAAAGGGGAAGAACATAGTGCCGGCACGAATGTTAGCTATAGAAAGGTATGCTTGGTTAACCGAACCCTAGGGTATATCTTCTTCTGTAACCTAATATATAGCTGAGGTTAGATGGCTTTGGTTTTATTTACTTTAAAACAGCTGATGCTGCAAATGGATTGTTGTTCAAACGGCTACAAACTTATTCTCCATGAGAAATCCAATATACAAGTAACTGCTTTCTTCTTGATTACAGGCAGTGGATTTGCCCCCAAAACTGAACATGTTCTCCTCCTTACCTCAACAAAATGCTCCATATGTCATGAACAATATAAGCCAGAGTGCACGCATGCCTTTTGAAGGTTAGTAATATATGGGTCACAGTATTGTCGGCATCGTCCTGTAAAGTAGGACTATTTCAGAAAGACAAGGTGCATCTTGTCTGAAATCTCAATCAGGTGTACTAGGCAATTTGTGGTTCGTTTTGTTGATGCCTGAATCTAGAAATTATCGATGTTGGAGAGCTCGTGGACTCTTCTATTTAGTGTTATGTCTCCTTAGTTGTGCCATCTTAGAAACAAAAATCAATATTGTTAGCTAGATACCTTTTTTCTCACCTGTTACATTTTTAGGTTTCATATGTTTTCGTAACTTCTTATTTTCTTAGGTTTAAGTGATGCGGTTATGGAGCTTCTACGGCAGAATGCTCAAGCTTTCAGTCAGATTTCTTCAAACCTTTCTGCCTGCAAGGTAATTGGTTTGTTTTTCTCAATTCTACGTGGGTGATACTGATCCAAAAGCTCGTTGGTAGAAAAAGATTGGCAATCATGAGCAGAAAACTGACTTAAAAGAATCATACATCGTATTTTTCACACGCACAGAGTTTATTCACGACAACTTGTTTTCCTTTCGAAATGGAATTCTCATCCTGACATCGTATTTTCTGCATACAGCCACAGGATAACATCAGTCTATTTTATCTGGCAAGAAATAACATCAGTGCCATCTTGAATGAGTATGTGTATCTAAAGTCACGTTGAATCACTAATGATACATTCCTTTGTCGTGTTTCTCCTCTTTTACAAAAGCACAAAAGCCTGATTTGCTAAACTCTTACTTATCATTGCTGCAGCATGAAGGAGACGCCTGGTATCATCAGCCGGATGCCGCCTCTACCCGTTTCAATTAACAATGATCTTGCAAGCAGTTTGATGACGAGTACAACACAGGTAAGCAATCTTGCATTTTCTCTGAATGCAATTTGGATAGGACCCTTATAGGTATGATGTTCCTTAATATTAGAGGATTAGAAACCTGAAATCCCTTAATAAATCTGCCTTTGCTTCATGAAAAATATCTCATGGCGTTAAAATAATCAGACTTGTATAACCCACAAATCTGCCTCAAATACCAAATATGCCTAAAGTTTTATGAGATTGTGATCTTGTACAAGAAAATTGCTTTATATCTGGGTGAATTATGGAAAACCTTACTGTATTGTTTGGTTCACTCCATGTTTGATGTTACAACAGAATGTGTCTGTCTCTCAGCCTAGACCTTATATCATTCCCTCGAGCATGCATCTGAAGCAGGAGCCAAGAAACTGACGGGGAGGAAACTGGATTTTGACCAATGCTAAAGGAAATTGCAGAAGAAACCGGTAAATGGTAGTTGCTCGAGGTGACCCAGACTGAAAGATGATGGTTTGTCAACTGCAAAACACAAGATTTAACAAAGATGAGAGCTTGTGGAACCCTTTGTGCTGGCGACTAATATGGCGTGGAAGGGCTTACACTGAACCGCAGGCTAGCTAAAACCCTTTTCCAAATCTTTCATGTCTTCGAAACTGATTATTTTTCCGGTGCCACAACGCTTTGGCGGTCAATCCAAAATATGAATTCATTGCACAGATCTGTAGTAGAGCCGGTTGTATAGATTAGCTGTTTCTGTAAGGTTTTAGAAGAGAGTTATTTGAGTATCAAGAACACTTCTTAATGAGGTTTGGTCTTCAGATGCATTTCATATTTTACTACGCTAAGATCCGCTGCCATATGATATGGCTCGTCTTTTTGCGTGTGTTTCGAGTTTCGACCATATATCTCAATTCACACAAATTTGTCATTCACAATATATTCTCTTCCTTAACGGTTTTAAGAGTGATGTAAATCTGAAATCGGCAGCTCTATAATTTATTCTTTGAGAGCATAAGTCCTGGCCCTTACGCATACTCTTTACATTCTGAACATGCAACACAAACTAACGTATAAACTCTCAAAACAGTTTTAAGCAGCATTCCAAGAAGACAGTGGTGGAGTCTCAGAGTTCTTGAAAGTGGGTACAATGTCGCTGTATCTTTCTCCTTTCACAGAACCTGGTTGTGCAAGGGCCTCAAGCACAGACATCTCTTCGGGAGTGAGTTTCACAGATAAAGCTCCAATGTTCTGATTGAGGTTTTCGATCTTAGTAGTTCCGGGAATGGGGCAAACATCATCTCCCTGGTGGTGAACCCATGCCAAGGCTAGTTGTGCGGGAGTGCATCCTTTCTTCTCTGACATTGCACTAACTTTCTCATAAAGAATCTTGTTGTGGTCTAAGTTTTCTTGTTGGAATCTTGGTAGAGTCTGCAATAAAGAAACATAATTGAGCAGATAAATGTAAAGTTTCGTCAATCAAACAAGTCATACAAATTCATATTTATTTACCTTTCTGAAGTCATTATTGTCTAGGTTCTCAACAAACTTGGGTCCAGATGCGAAGAAACCTCGACCAAGAGGACTGTAAACAACAATCCCTATCCCAAGTTCCCTGAAGAATGAAAGAGAGAACATGATTGGTAAAAACTGCACCACGAAAGGAAGATGAAATCTGGATACCTGCAGGTTGGGACGATTTCTTCTTCCACATCTCTCGTCCACAAGGACCATTCTAACTGCACCGCAGTTATTGGGTGAACAGCATGCGCTCTTCTGATAGTTGAAGCTGAAGCTTCGGACATACCGATATACTTTATTTTACCCTCTTCAACTAGCTTCTTGAGTTCTCCCATCTTAAAATCAAATGACAAAAGAGATTGTCAAGTTAAGCAAAAGGTACCGGCTTTCGATAAAAATCATCAAGTATGGCAAACCAATCTCAGAATCTAATTTCTTCGACCCTATTAGTCCAAACATATCCAAAAGCCAAATATGTAGACCACACTGAACTATACAGAACACTTCCATTTCATCAGAAAGTAAGAACGGCTTACAGTGATTTCGATAGGGACACGAGTATCGACCCGATGTTGATAATAAAGATCGATGCAGGCAACATCTAGACGCTTTAAACTAGCTTCACAAGCAGACCTAACATAGGCAGGATCTCCCTTAATCTCTGTCTTTCCCCCTGAAGAGCTGAATCCAAATTTGGTGCCAAGTTGCACTTTTTCCCTCACTCCATCATACTTGAGAGCCTGAAAGTAGTAATTCAAATAATCGTTTTCTAAAGAAGAATCAGAGGCTAATTCCCATCTCTAAGTCGTTCTTTGTTAGTACCCAGAACAGAACAAACTCTCGAAAGTCAACTATCTAGAAATCAAGCAGATCGAACCTTGCCGAGGAGCAACTCGTTGGTCTCAGGACCGTACATGTCGGAAGTATCAAGGAACGTAACGCCGGAGTGAATCGCGTGGTGGAGGAGAGCGATTGCGTCAGAATCCGGCTTGGAAGGACCGTAGCGAGCGGAGAGGCCCATACAACCAAGACCTTGCGCCGATACCTCAAGACCTTGGCTTCCCAGCTTCATCCTCTTCACCTTCGCCATGGATGCAGGATGATTTCTCTCACAACTCTCTCTTTCTTCTCTTTGTGACTTTCGTAAAGCTGTGAATTGTATAAGTGGAGTGACTGTTGAATGAAACTAAAGCAATTATTTATATATTTGAAAAAGAATCAAAAGTAGTTTCTTTGATCACAACAAAGTTAAGTGCGAAATATACAATCGATCTCTACCGTCTTATTATGCACACATTCCACTTAGTTATAGTCTATTTTATATGATAAAAGTGATGACCAAGA